GCCATGCCCAGGCTCTGGTTGCTTTCTCCTGCTTCCCTCAAAGTTTTTGTTACCAAAAGCCTCTATTAAAAGGTAGACTAAGGAAGCTCTTGCCTTCTTATCTTCTAAGACATCTAAATGTATTGCTAGTTGCATATTCCACCAGCCAAGACCTACTATCAATTTCTATCTCTCTCTGAATTATGGGACTATTGCAATTTTTACAAGGAAGAAATCCTTGAACCCGCGAGATCCTGTGTGACGGCCTTAAAAACCTCTTGCCCCCCTGCACCCCACTCCCTTCATGAAGGGCAAATACCCAAGACTAGACTTTACGGTCAAACAAAGGGTAAACCCTATAAATAGATAGTGAAATCTACACAAATATTGTACACGGCCATAGGTTTCCCTATTGTGCTCCACAGTGGAATCGTCTGACCGAGAACACTCGAAACAAAGAGTAGCATCACACAAACACCATCCTAGCCCACAACAACATCTGGCATAAACCCTTTGTTCTGGTACTTTCTTTCTCCGTCGTACCTCCAAAACACACCCTTGGTTTTGCTGTGTAAGATACTATCTATTGAGGTTATACCACAGTAATGGCGCACCAATACATGTTAATTTATACTAGACATCTTCTAACTGGTGTATCATAATATTGCTCCCTTGCCATAAAAACACAAGTATATTAGCGTATTCCAATCGTGATGCTCCAATTACGCGGAATGATTTCTCTTAAAGATTGTTACAACCGTATCGATGTCTCGCGATATCTTTCCATCTATGGTAGGTCGTGCAAATAACATCATCACTTTATATCCTACACGAATCCCAGGCAGGACTCCACCTGTGTAATATAAATGGCCCAGAGTCCCCAACGTGTTTGATCTCTTCCCCTCGCCCAAATCCCACCTAGCGTGAAGTGTGCATGATTGTCCGTGATACATGTTCACCATATGGTGGCGCCACTCCCGCCACCCAGAACACCCAATCATATCCTCAATCCCCTTCCTCCTCCCACCACCGTGCACCTTTAGAGTGACTGTACAACGTCCCGCCCCTACCTGCCATTTCCTCGGCCAGGGTCCAAAACAGATACAGGCAAGTAACACAAAAGGCAGAGGGTTAGCAGGGGATCTGTTTCCTCGGAGGTTACGTAAAAGCTCACGGCAGTACTGACGAGTTCTGACTCAAGGATCCAGCGTCGGCCTCAGCTCAGCTGCAGTCCTAAATGCCGTTCCTAGACGAGCGTAATCTGCTGCAGCTGGCAGAGGACGACGAGCGGCAGGTGCGGCTGTCTCTCGAGTAGACCACTTCCGGGTTCGCAGTCTCCTCAGCGAACCCACACCTCCGGAAGCTCACACAGAGACACATGGAGAGACGGAGAGCAAACCAATACAACACACGGAAAACATAAACATAAACATACACTGAAAATGCCTGAGCCCTGGGTCCCTAGACCCAGGCCATGACAGATATACTGTCCACCTTCACTCCCTGTCTCTGTAGCTGTAAGTGGTTCTTCAAAGGGAAAATGCAGCTGTTAGCTGTAATGTTAGGATTTGTAGATCACTTTATAAATGTGGAGTGTGTGGAGAACAGGCTGTGTGAGTCAGATACACCAGTGGGCCACCACACACGTGTACCACACGGTAAATAAATGTAAACACTGATTTTTAAATCCAACTTCATTTAAAGTCAAAATGTCACCAGGATGCAGTAAATCTTTCTCCTCTGAACAACAGCAAAAAGAAAATCAGGCTTCAAAATGACTTCATGTTTCTATTTGTGTCTAACTGGATATTTTCCTGTGAACAGTTCCCAGTAAGCCCACTGTGACCCTGCAGCCATCCTGGACTCAGATATACAGCGGTGAGACAGTCACTGTCAGATGTGAGATTCAGGGAGGTGAAGGAGCTCAGTGGACGTATGAATGGAGAGCAGCCAAGTTAAACACACCTCCAACATCCAATGAATACAGAATCATCAGAGCTACTGAGTCTGACAGTGGAGGATACAGCTGCCGGGGCAGAAGGGACTATTTCTTCTCAGAGTGGAGTGATATCATCACACTGACTGTATCATGTAAGATCTTTCATCCAGAGTATCTAAATAAGGAAAAAGCACTTCTTCTTTCTTACAGCTTTATAACTGTCTTTCATGTTGGTCAGTAAAATGTTTAGTTTTTATTCCAACAACAAAAACCTGAACAGCAGCTTTTTATTCACAGTGAAGAGAACAAAACATATGAGAGTAACTTCTCTGCTGTGCAGCTCTAATACATGAAAGATGAAATGCAGAACAAATGCTGGATCTGTCTCAGCTGCTCCACCACATCCACTAAGAAACATTAAATCCACTGATTGTTCCTCATGTGTGTTTTTAACTTAGAAATGCAGCAAATTAAATATGAAAGATTAGTGTTGTGTTTGTGTGATAGTTGTACAGTTTGTTGCAGCTTCACCATTAAAGTTATGTGATATTTATTATTTCCATATTTCCACCAAGTTATTTCAACTGGTTTGATTCAGTCATTGACTTTTGTTCTTTTTCTAAACTGAACTGCAGATAAACCAAAGGCCAAACTGAGAGCTGATAACACAGCTGTTCCAGTAGGGGGCAGTGTGACCCTGACCTGCTCTGTGAACCCATCATCATCATCTGGATGGAAATACTACTGGTACAGAGATGAGAAATCCTCTGAAGCCCTGACCACACAAGATGCAGTTTTCCACTCAAATGGACAAATCAGTGTCTCACAGGAAGGACTCTACAGGTGCAGAGGAGGAAGAGGAAACCCAGTTTACTACACAGAGGACAGCCAGTCAGTCAGGATTGGGAAAACTGGTGAGTTCAAAGTTAATGAACCCCAAATCACTACCTGATGAAAAGTATCTGATGGAAATTGACCCCTTTTGTCATTCACTTGTTCATTTCCTGAATACAGTCCCAATCAGACCTGTTGTGACTCTGTATCCAAACTGGTCTGAGATATACAGAGGAGAGACGATCACTGTCAGATGTGAGATCCATGGAGGAGACACTGAGTGGGATTATGAGTGGGAAACAAACAGCAGGATAAAAGCTCCAAATCAAAATGAATACAGGATTAGATCTGCTTCATCATCCAACAGTGGAAACTATCGCTGTAAGGGCAGAATGAAAAGTTCACAGCATGAAACAACAGAGTGGAGTGATTCAGTCACACTGACAGTTTCTGACAGTAAGTAGAGTCATAGTTCATTTAACCTGGAAATAGAAACAGTTTGTAAAAATGTGTTTTTATTAGTACATGTTGAGATATTTGACATGTTTAGATAGTCTCACTCTGAAAGTTCATCATAAATATTTGTGAGTCAACATTTTAGTGACATTGAATTCAGAGTTAAGAGACGAAAGATTGAGAGCAAATCTTTGTTGAACAGATGAACCCCGTCCTGTCCTCACTGTGTCTCCATCATGGCTGAGTCCTGGAGCCTCAGTAACTCTGAACTGTGAGGTTGAACATCCGTCTGCAGGATGGAGCTTCTACTGGTATAAAGCTGTTCCTGATCTATCAGAGAAATCCTCCAGTTATGAGCTGCTACCTGATGGCAGTGGGACTGCACAGGACTCCTACATCATTCATGGACAGACACACACAGCAGGATATGTGTGCAGAGCTGGAAGAGGAGACCCAGAGTATCACACTGATCACAGTCAACCAAAGTTTGTCTGGTCTGCAGGTCAGTTTGTTTCTCTCTGACCTTTCAATGAAGTGAGATTATGTTGTAACTTTTATTCAAGATGTTTTCAACAAGACTGAGCTCATCAATATTTTGATATTTTGAATCCTAACATCTGTGAGCTTTGTCTCTTCACTGCATGTTGTTTCCAGATGTTCATTCAGCAGCGTCTCTCACAGTGAGTCCTGACAGAGTGCAACACTTCACCTCTGACTCTGTCTCACTGACCTGTGAGGGAAACTTCACTGAGTGGAGAGTGAGGAAGTTCTCTGAGGACGGCCGACTGTACTCTGACTGTAGGAGAATGACTGGATCCACATGTGACATCAACACATCAAAGTCAGATACTGCAGTGTACTGGTGTGAGTCTGGATCAGGAGAGTTCAGCAGTGCAGTCAACATCACTGTACAGAGTATGTTATTATACATTTACTTCTTGGATTTGAATGATTTAGGTGTCACGTGAACATTTGTCCCAGTAATTATGTGGTAAAAACACACAGGTTTATACAAGATCAGATCTTCATGATGAACATTTGTACAATCTGTTCTTATTATTGTTTGTCAGCTTTTTCTAAAAGTGTGCAGCAGCTGATGTGACTGAAACAATTGTGTGTGATTGTGTCACAGATGATGGTAATGGTCCTATCCTGGTGAGTCCTGTTCATCCTGTGACTGAGGGAGCTTCTGTTAGTCTGAGCTGCAGTTTGAGAACACAACAAATACTTTCCAATGTGTTTTTCTATCACAATGACAAACTTCTTCAAAATGATCCCCGAGGGGAGCTGAAGATCTCTGCAGTGTCAAAGTCTGATGAAGGTTTCTACAAGTGTCAGTACTCAGGAAGAGAGTCAGCACAGAGCTGGATGTCAGTTAAAGGTGAGCAGGATCAAAACATCTGATGGAGTTTTCTAAACACGTCTGATGACTGAGAATGAACATTAGATTGTCTGATTTAAGTCTCGCAGTCACCTTGCTCCATTTCATAAAAGTATTTATTTATATAATTATAATTGATCAATAATTAATTATTGTTTCTTGTAACTGTGTCAAGTGATCAACATGAGACTACACTAGTTGTCAGAGCCTGACAGCACTATACGTCAATCTCCTGATAGTCGTAGGTTTGACAATGAGTTGGACACTATGAGTTGATGAGATGTTCTCTCCTACTTATATTAAATAATCTATCATAAACGCTGCTCTAATGATCTCGTGTAATAGATGTGCAGTGCCATAGACGCCGAAGCAGAACCAAGATAGTTACATCTCAAAGCAGCACATCCAAGTGTAAGAGCCTCTTCTTTTCATGCTGTATTAGAGAGTTTATTTACTACACACACTTTAATTATTCACACATATACATGTATTCTGATCGAACAATTCACATCACAAACATGTGTAATAACATTTGTCTCTTTCACAGATTCCTGCTTCACCAGGTTGGTAAAATACTTTTTATTATTATTTTAAACAAACATCAGTTACTTTTGAGTTTATTGTGTTTATTTCCTGTTTCAGGTCGATCCAGTCTGAGAGTCACAGTCCGGGCTCCTCCACAAATCATGGAGTCAACCAGAATGAAACTCATGAACACAACTCTCTTCATCCTGGTCAGCACTTAAACCGATCTTTATTATCATTATTAATATTGACTTTTCATTCAGTCTCCATTAACAGGAACATTTCTTAGGTTCAGTTTGTGCTCAGCAGCTTTTCAAAGAACATTTATCAAAATCCAGCTGGACAAACATCCAAATAACCAACTGACTACATGCACAAAAGATCAGAAACAAACAGGATTTTACAACCTGATTGTATCTTTAACTCGACTGAAAGAATCCACAAATGTTGTTGTTTCATATCAGAACAACACAAACAGTAACACCATGATGGGTTCATGCTCTGAAAATATCTGACAGTCCTGGATTTGACTTAAACACAACTAATGAAATTGAATGTGATGTGTTTACAAACATTTTTACATTTCAGGTGCAGATGAACCGCGAGACGTCACATACTCTCTTATTAAACTTCAAAACCTTAGAAAGAAGAGTGAGTACACAAAACACACAGTGTAGAAAAAAGCCTGGGAAGTTTTTAAAGTGTTTAAAATGTTTTAATTATTTTCATTAATCTGATCATCTTCACAGAGAAGCATCATAAAGCAGAGCAGAGTGCTGTTTACTCTGAGGTGAAGACGGGAGCTGCAGGTACAGTCACAACAGTCTCATTCAGTGTTTGTACTTGAATGTGTCATCACATCATTATATTGCAGGTAATTATAGGTCAACATGTTAGTTATTCATGCCAGCCACCATGTTAGCCCTAGTCGTCTGAACTATGGAGTTTTCCTATCTTATTCAAAACTGAGACATTTCCCATATGGTGTTCACCTTGAAGTCTTTAACTAACAATGGACGATCCCAAGACTACACCTAGTCTTAGCAGCTGACATGCTTCATTACCATCGAGGCCGTCTCAGAAGTGTTTACGCTGTAAGTTTGGTCTGTCTTTCGAGTATAGCAGAGATGATGTTGCTTTATTGATACACTTTACCCCGGTATTGTCCATCGTAATATGTCGCCCAAAACTAACCAGTATTGCGTGCTGCGATGTTTGGTTTTACGTCTTGTGGTGTGTAGATGCCCCCCCAATTGCTGGAACCAAATGTGTCTACCCTAAGCATCATTGGAAGCTGCCGCGTGCGGTCTCTAGACTTAATACAGTGAGGAACTATGTATCTATGTGCGGCAATGTTTATCATCTGGTACAGAACTGCCTATAGACCATGGCATATCTTCTCACAAACAAGAGAAAAAGATGCATCGGAGAAGAAATACACAAAAGAAACACAGTGGTGAGGAAAGCAATGCGTGCTCCTTCAACCAGATACGAATTCATCACATGGACGAGCAATAGTATATGTGCACGCCTATGTGCAACCTATGTAATGTCTAATTGTTATTACAGGTTCCACCCCTCCAGCGATCAGCATGTTATTAATAATCTATGAGTTCACCACGACCTGACTCTACGTCTGAGAGCCGGTGATTATGTACTCAATGTACAAGAGGTCAGAGAAAGCGGTATCTTCTCTACTTTATCTCATCTGGCAGATGATCGGAGCTGATCCCAAGACTGTGAGACGTACGAAAAACACCGAAGGATTTGATCGGCACCTCACGGCTAGGTAAGGATAGAACATGAGGAAGATCAATTAGCTGAGGCTCTGATATGCCTCTTCAATGACCATCGATCTGCTGTCTATCACCCCCCTTCTCAGATGACAACATGACCATCAAAAGATCTGGTTCCACGACATGAAACTTGACAAGACGCAGCTCCGAAGTCTCTATAGTATTAAAGCTCTGCAGAACAAAATAGTCACGGTCCGCTGCATCTCAGTAGGAAATCAACAGACTCATCACCTCTCCAGAGTAATCAATCCTGCTGCCATTGACAGAGTGCTGCTCATAGCCTCCACAAAATTGACAGTGCATAGAGAATAGTGTCAGTCTTCTACCATAGTCTCGAACAGTCCATTCTTGTTTGACACCCGAGTGGTCATGTAGAAAATCACTTTTGTCTCTCGTACAGTGAGCGCCAGCTTAGATCAGCCAGCGATCATGTTAGATGGAAGATCTTATGTCGATGTATGATCGAACAAAAGAAAAGGGCCTCTACCGAAGAAGCTGGTGTTTATTTAGAAGCCCTATGGGACTCTCATCTATGCTCCTCCATGTTCCCTCTATGCGGCGCGCACACAATGATTCATATCGACCCACAAGCCTCGCATTTCACAGTCTGCGCTCAGAGACAGGTACTATGTCAGTCTCGAATAAATCCTACAATATTCCCAGTCAGCGATCCATAATACAATCAGACACCTTGTGATTGTCTACTCTAATAACTGAGTGATAAGACCAGTATGCCAAACACAAACCCAGCTATGTGCAAAATCAGCCACCGGTCGTGGATCGCGGCTATTTCTATTTATTTTTCATATTATTGCGTCAATAAGGGCATGTCCAAGTTCATAACACATAGTTCAGTTCATCGTGTATCTGTGAACTAAAAGCACTGTCCAGTGTGATGGGTCAATTTATAATAAGTTAATAAGCCCTCTCGAGCTATTCAGCTAAGTATCGATCACACTTGCCACAACTGACTCATAGTATCACAACTGAGCGCACATTGAAGACGTTTTATTCGCATTGCACGCGACGATTCAATTCCAAGTAGTACAACGAAGATACATTTAACTGGGAGGTTTTGTATGCTCGTCCTAGCCAGGCGAGTATAATCAGCTATAAGACACAATGCCGCGACTAAGACCTATTATGAAAACACATGCAAGCCTTGGATTTAAGCCGGTGGCTGCGGTAGGCATTTATGTGACTAGCCAAGGTCAATATTCGCCACTGTGGCAATGCATTCTTCATGCCTACCGTGTAATATTAGCATGATCACCTCGGGCGTGCGCAACCGACAAAATGAAAGCATATTAACCTCTGTGGCGTGGAGCTCCCTAAATGCATACTCGTAACATTGGTACAGTAGAATTGACAACTCGAGAACCTCCATATATCATAGCGGAGCTTGTGACCTCCAGATCCTTGAATGTGCTATTTCATGTCACTCTCGATGGTCCTCTGCTTTGTAGTGTGTTTCCCTTCTGATCATTCTATTTTGCCAGTCTGTAGTTCGAAGATAGAACATGCAAATAACGACTTCTTCATTAATCTATGCAGCTAATTACTGAATCCTGACATCTTATGTATTGAGTTATCTTTGTTCCGCGACCGTAATCTCAGGTACAATATACCAACAGAATTTGAGCGAACAGTACACTCAAAGCATTTCAACCACACAAGCTAGAGCCGTTCCTGCGTAACATGGGCTAACAATGGTTTATCTAGCATGCCATAAGCGATCATCGGACTTCGCTTAAATCAAATAGCCAGGTGATAGTGAGCAAAGCGGCAATCTTACTCATAGCTATGAACGTACGGTCAGCACTAAACAGATTCCATTGCAATTCTCATTCTAAGAACCATACACCAGACTACACAACACTCAATTTAAGATATCATATCTCAGACAGAGCCCTTTAGTATCAAGGATGTGAAACGATGCCGACTTTACTAGATACACCCAATACAGGCATCTTTCATCAATGACTGGTGCTGCTGCATGATGCTTACCCACGAGTGAATGAGCCAAGGGGATCTAACAGCACAAGCGAGTGAAACGGTATTGCTAGCGCGACGTCTTGATGATGAGACTCATGACACTCTGGGCACCGTCATCCGTAGTGCAGAGAGATGCATGTGTAGATACCAGACAATCGAAACTCCACAAGAGGTCCCTGAACGTAAAGTCTTTGCTGTGCTACTACAGATTCCGCGCGTGCTCGTTTTATGACTCTGTGGCTCACTTCATGCGTCAGAAACACAACAATTCCTCAACACACCTATATGCAATTGACAGCCTCACGACGTATTGAGAGTTGATCAACAGGACTATGAGTGACAGCATGTAAATGATTTCGTCTGTTTTCTATACTTATATCATATTGAGAGCTTACAGTTTTTACATATTATAGCTCATCACTCTTGGTAGGTGATCGGATCCATAAAACTTCGGCTACTTGTGCCTAGATTGTAATCTGTTTGAATGAAGTACACATGTACCACTGTACTATATATCGATTATGTATATCGATCTCTATACAGTCGGTGGAGAGTCATCGGGTATCAACGCGCCACTTCTCTGAGAGCTCATAGTTCATACTCACATCCCGTCATCATTCTATCTATCGATGTCTTGCCTGACAGCCATCTTTCATACCCATAGAAGCTTATAGGCTGACATGTTCTAAGTATCTACCTTCGCGTCCTACCGCGATTTAGATAGGATCATTATGCACTAGGAGACTAAGGCAACTTAGCCCTCTCGACACTGGTGACAGACACATGTCATGTGTCCTAATTGTGCCTTAGCATTGCACTAGCGCAAGAGAGATCTAGCGAGAGGCTTAGAGACCCTTAAAGCTTGCATCCGACTAGAGTCGATCCTAAACATCCTTTACAATAGCAAAATCTCTTCACTAGAGTGTAATCTTAGATTCTTATAGTCTGCACCCGTGACTTCGCACCTCTCGATCTCTCTCCTCCTATTCTCTCATCCCTTCTAGATTGATCTAGCCCATCCTAGTACTAGCCTCTATTCCAGCATTAACATTCATACCTGCTACGTGTGAGACCATCTCCAAAAAGTATAGTGACAGTTACCATCTAAGAGTCAGATTCTGCTCGTCTCGGTTCCTACTAGTATCTTATAAGATGCGTAGAGTATCTCATATATCTCTCAAACCCGGTATGAAATTATGACACCGCATTCCAGAGAGCGACAACAGGTATGCATGATACTGAATGGATATGTCATCTATATATCATGAATCGGAGCGCCCTAAGAATAAATAATTCCAAGGGTCACTCAATGATCCAGAACTATCAAGAAAATAAGCGCATCATGGAACAAATGAAGCCAGCCACGTCTCATTCACACTTGGACTATAGCAACCCCGCTACCTTAGGGTCGTGATCAAGCAACTCCCTATGTCACATGCCACTTACCAAGCTTAGAAACACTAAGATCACACTCATTAGCACATATATCACGAACAATCAAATAGTGAATCCAGAGAGCGTTCCTGATGATGCACTTCATGTTCACAATAACAATAGATATAGTGCGGGAGCGGTAATAAAAGAGATCTTACATGCATCATTGCACCACCAGAAGTGTCCAACAAGAATGCGTATGATGAGTACCTAATTGAGTTCCTTTAGATCCATTGATCATAACCGGCCGAGCCCCGGCTCACGCACAAAAGCCTAGATATGCACACTTTGACAACAATTCATCATAAATCTCGCCAGAAGTCACAAGACTGATGCGACATTGAAGTTGGTGCAGAACTACAACAAGAATGGTAATCTGACATATCCACGACAAATATCACATCTGGATAACGTGACTCTACGGGATGTGGTAGTGCAATGTAGGCTGCATGACACTGACCAAATTCGTTTTCATGATCTACGCATGTTGCTGAGCCGACGTACATTTATGCATTCTTTCTGTGACATCCACTTTTGAGACTCTAGATCTTATCTCAGGTGACCAAACGATAGCATATCAGTACAGATCCCTGTCTGCCTATGGGCTCTATAAACTCCTGGGTATGAAATGTAATGATGTTCGCTTTATTACAGCCTCTTGA